AGGTACACTGCTCTGTGTGAATGGGTGAATGACATGTGGTATGTAAAGCGCTTTGAGGGGTCGTAAAGACTGGATATAGCGCTATATAAGTACAGTCCATTTACAATATCACAAAAAAGAGCATCATTTAAAGTCGTTTTCAGTTTTAAAGGTGGGGTAGGTAATTTTGGAGAAACCAGCTCGAGTGCGCTAGAATTTGAAAATACACAACCGGAAAAAATCTGCCACTTCCTCACAGAGCCCCTCCTCCAACACACACGAACGCGCACATGACCAATGAGGGCACGAGATAAGTTTGTGCACAGATGGAAGGCTGACAGGCAGGTAGGCCATCCAGTTATTATAGCCGGGCCGGCTCAGATGATTGGTCGTGCTTTTTACAGTACTACGGCTTCCACAGATGATATTTTTTAATGGATTTTTTGTCAAAGCACTTCAGATATTCATTGCTATCGGGATGTTAAGAGCATAGAGTGGAATATAACAACAAGTGTATCTCGAGCCGGTTTCTCAAACTTACCTACCCCACCTTTAAGTGTGTTTTTAAGAAGTATATTGGTGAACATCATAATTGTGTTTACTTCAAAACCTCAGTTTTCCTGTATTGTGTTCCATATCTTCCATATTGGACTCTGGTAAAGTGGTCTGCAATATTGTGGCTTCAGCATTAAGCCTCTGCAGGTCATGGATTACTTCTTGCCCTCTTTAAAGCAACACAACTCAAACAGTGAAACAGTGGAAAGTGCTGAGATGTGGAGATAATCACAACGTGTGTTTTTCTCTTTTACACATTCATCATGTGGTCTGATTGAGGTCCAGCTTGAGCTCCAGGTGAAGGAAGTCTGCCTGTTTTCAGACGGATTAAAAACGGATTAATTAGAATTGGAAAGCCAGTTGAAAGGTGGAAGTGTGTGTGTGTGTGTGTGTGTGTGTGTGTGTGTGTGTGTGTGTGTGTGTGTGTGTGTGTGTGTGTGTGTGTGTGTGTGTGTGTGTGTGTGTGTGTGTGTGTGTGTGTGTGTAAATTATGCTGATATGAGGCTTGTGCAAACACACTTCCTCTCTCTCCATCACACACACACATACATACAGACATAGATGTGCTGTAAACAAACATAACCTTGCTTGGTTAAGTCCCAGGTTGCCTTGCAGAGGTTAAACAGGCGTCAGATTATTAGAGCAGCTTCAGGAAACAGAGCTCTCCCTGAACTCGGTTTCCTCCTCGCCTCTTTGGGTTTACACCGGGAATTATGTACGAGGTCGGCCGGGTCTCCAAAGGCCAGCGAAAGGTTGTACGAAAGCACAAAGGTCGCTGCACGACTCAGAAAACAATATTCAAGACTCGGTAAGAGACATTTTCTGCAGGAGAAACGGCCTCTCAGAGCATTCTGGGTAAATGAACACACCCCAAACTACACTGATTACAATTAGCAGTGTTTTATAGTGATACAGTATAATCAAAGTATAATAATTAATAATGATAAGAACAAAAAAATGCATATAATGAATATTCTACAGGTAAAAAACAATACAATCCAGACAGGAAAGTATTTAAGTATTTCATTTTACATTTCTGATTTATCTTACTCCATTTTATATATAGTTCTTTTTATTTTTTCTGCAAATTACTCACACAACTATCGTCTATTGCACTTATTAACCTCTTTTATGTTAAGTATATAGTATGTTTGAAGGAGCCTGAGACTTAAACCGATGAAATGTTTTGATAAACCTAAAGATGAAAATAATTATTGTGTAATTTATAAGCTAATTCAATAATAATCCTTGAACAAAACCTTGGCTACTGGAGTTCGGTGAGGAGCAATTGCTGCGTCTGTTTTTACCCAAACTGATAGTGTGCACAATACAGTGAGTAAAGGTGAACAATTGGTACAAAAACAACAATAAATCATTCGCAGAACCAGAAGAAGGAAAGAGAACCAGTGGAACCAGTGGAACCAGTGGAACCAGTATCAGCTGACCTCAGTCTGTGAGGGGGGATATTGTTTTGCATGCCCTTTGTTGTTTTTCAATTGTATTTGCATATTAATAACACATACTGACACACTGGGACTTTAAATTGGTTTGTGTGTGTGTGTGTGTGTGTGTGTGTGTGTGGTGTGTGTGTGTGTGTGTGTGTGTGTGTGTGTGTGTGTGTGTCTGTGTGTGTGTGTGTGTGTGTGTGTGTGTGTGTGTGTGTGGGGGGGGGGGGTTGTGCGTGTTGTTCAGTGTATGTGTGCAGTAATGTGTGACCATGTGCTGAAATGTTTGTGTGTGTGTGTGTGTGTGTGTGTGTGTGTGTGTGTGTGTGTGCGTTAGGCATGCAGACCAATAACGGCACACACACACACACTAAGGAAACAGCACCCCAACATGCTCACACACTCAGAGAGTCATTGTCTCGATCTCTTCTCCACTCACACACTCACACACAGATACAAACAGACACCCCGTGGCAGCGGCCTGTGTGTGTGTGTGTGTGTGTGTGTGTGTGTGTGTGTGTGTGTGTGTCTTTATGAAATCACAGAGGGTCTGACCGCCTCATAGTAATTATGCTAATTGCCTGGATGCCCTTGCCTTTATTTATGCGCGGCTGCTAAGATAAATAAAAGGAAATTGCTTTGGATCTCACTGTATTCATTTCAGCATGCTAACTAGAACGCTAACGCACCGCCTGCGTGTGTGTGCGTGTGGCGAGGTTTGTGTGTGTGTGTGTGTGTGTGTGTGTGTGTGTGCGAACGGGGCGAGGCACAGATTTGTTTACCCTTCACAAATTCTGCAGGTAATTGCAATTTTGATTGTACATTTATTTATTTTATTCTGTGTGTGAACGGATTGTATTGATGTGTTCTGTGTGTGGCAGAGAGGTGGAGGGTTAGTGTGTGTGTGTGTGTGTGTGTGTGTGTGTGTGTGTGTGTGTGTGTGTGTGTGTGTGTGTGTGTGTGTGTGTGTGTGTGTGTGTGTGTGTGTGTGTGTGTGTGTGTGTGCTTCTTGTCCCTCAATCTTCTGTCATATTGAAATGTTTTGTTCTATTAAAGCAGAAAGGTCTGAAAGCCACAGACTGTTATCTAGTGGAGCTAAAGTCTCTGAACAAAACAACAAAACAGTCTCTACCTTAAATGAACCACGAACAAATATGTAATCAAACTTTAACAGGTAAATTATATGACGGTAACTGTTATGTTTACAGCTGCAACTATCAAATCATTTAATTTTAAATTAATCTTTATTTTTTTTATACAAATTGGTCACAATCGTCTGATCATTTTGATGTCAAAAAATCCTGAAAAAAATCAACACATTTGAAGAAACCGAAGTAACGTTGACACATTTTTGCCTTTAAAAGTTTACAACCAAATGAAAACCAAGCAACACAAATACAATGTAAATAAAAATAGTATAATAAGTAAACCTTGATTTAGAATTACATCGTAAAACTACTACTAGTTGGAACAAAAGTAAACTGCTTAACTTTTCAGCAAACCTGGATGATAACAAAAGCAGCTTCATGTCCTGATGTGAACGAATAGCTGGCAAATAGACGCTTTGTATATACAAATTTTACTCCAACAAATTTATAGATAGGCTAAGCGGCGGGACATCTCTATGCTGGTTGACCAATCACAACAGAGCCAGCCAGCTAACCAATCAGAGCAGACTGGGCTCTGGTTTCAGACAGAGGGTGAAAAGAGGTGCTGCAGAACCTGAACATTTATCTTAATATGTCCTCTTTAAATGATCCACCCTGAGGACAAACTTCACACACACACACACACACACACACACACACACACACACACACACACACACACACACACACACACACACACACACACAAATGTCTAAATCTGGGCGTTCAGACAGTAAAATAAAGAATTGCAATTGATTAGTGAGCGCTGCTGAATGGTTCGCTCCCTCTGCTTCCCACCTCCTGCAGATTACTGCATCGATCGCCCTCACACACACACTCAAACACACACACGTACACACACACCCACACCCACACACACACACACACGTAAACACAACACACACAACAGATGAGGCCATCTTTTAACCATTCAGACCGGGCGGTTTAAATGTTACTGTCTAGCTCTCTGCCTCTTAATGACAAATGGAAAAACAGACTGCGTGTGTGTGTGTGTGTGTGTGTGTGTGTGTGTGTGTGTGTGTGTGTGTGTGTGTGTGTGTGTGTGTGTGTGTGTGTGTGTGTGTGTGTGTGTGTGTGTGTGTGTGTGTGTGTGTGAGGTAGAGAGACAGGGAGAGAACAAATGCATTTTAAAGAGGACAGACAAATATGGAGGGGGTGATATATAGGAAAACGGCAATGAAACAAAAAGGAGAGGGAGGATAAAATGATTAAATGGGAAAACAGAGATCAATGGGTAAGAAAGTGAGAAAGGAGGGAAACAAAGAGCAATAAAGAAACATTGAATAACAAGACAAATAAGAAGTGGCCAAAACGATTAACAAGAGGACAAATTGCTCTCAGATGGGCATGTCTACGGTAGAGAAGTCGATTTGGATAAAAGTGTCAGCTAAATAACACGATGTTAAAGATATGACTGTGTGTGTGTGGGGGAGAAACTTCCTCCGGAGGGATTTTTGCCTCTGCAGACCATTTACATGCACTAAAACCTATATAACACACTACAGGAGAGGGACAACCCCCAAAAAGCATAGGGCCTCTTTAAGACACAAAGACAGAGAGGTGTGTGTGAGGAGGAACATCCAGATTAACAAGAACAATGAAAGATAAAAAGGGAAGGACTATGGCAGGTGCGGCGCTGACTTTCATTGCAGGGAATTATTGCTAATATACGTCTGTTTGCTTCTAACCACAGCAACCAGTTAGAAATGTGTCCTCCTGCCATCTGTCCCTGCCTCACATTCTTAAAATGGAGTAAAATAAACGAAGGAATTGGGAGAAGAGGGCGAAAGAGGGAGAGGGGGAAAATGGAGTAAAGTAAAAGGGGGGATGGCAGATGAAGGAGGATAAGAAAGAAGAAAGAAGGGTTGAGAAAAGGGGAAATAAGACAAGAAAAAGGGGGAAAAGCTGAGAAAATTGAGGAAAAGGGAAATAAGACAAGAAAAAGGGGGAAAAGCTGAGAAAATTGAGGAAAAGGGGAAATAAGACAAGAAAAAGGGGGAAAAGCTGAGAAAATTGAGGAAAAGGGAAATAAGACAAGAAAAAGGGGGAAAAAGCAGAGAAAATTGAGGAAAGGGAAATAAGACAAAAAAGGGGGAAAAAGCTGAGAAAATTGAGGAAAAGGGTAAATAAGACAAGAAAAAGGGGGAAAAGCTGAGAAAATTGAGGAAAAGGGGAAATAAGACAAGAAAAAGGGGGAAAAAGCTGAGAAAATTGAGGAAAAGGGGAAATAAGACAAGAAAAAGGGGGAAAAGCTGAGGAAATTGAGGAAAAGGGAAATAAGACAAGAAAAAGGGGGAAAAAGCAGAGAAAATTGAGGGAAAGGGAAATAAGACAAGAAAAAGGGGGAAAAAGCTGAGACAATTGAGGAAAAGGGAAATAAGACAAGAAAAAGGGGGAAAAAGCAGAGAAAATTGAGGGAAAGGGAAATAAGACAAGAAAAAGGGGGAAAAAGCTGAGACAATTGAGGAAAAGGGAAATAAGACAAGAAAAAGGGGGAAAAGCTGAGAAAATTGAGGAAAAGGGAAATAAGACAAGACAAAGGGGGAAAAAGCAGAGAAAATTGAGGGAAAGGGAAATAAGACAAGAAAAAGGGGGGAAAGCTGAGAAAATTGAGGAAAAGGGAAATAAAATGAGGGAAATTAGGAAGAAGAAAGTCCTCACAGGCCACTTTAAGATTGGTGATTAATATCAACCCAAAAATAGGTTGTCTAGCATGAGGATTAAAATATACTTTGCTTTTCGGTAGCAGAAGGTAAATATGGACATGTGGTGTGAAACTGAAACACAGACTGTACAAGAGAAAACGACGTATAGAGTCGTAAACAGGCAGGATTAATAAAGTATTGCAATGTGTTGCAGCATATGGCTTACAGTCTCACCCTCTGGGCTTGGAAAGGCACAGTTCACTCATTTGGTTCCCAGTTCCTCCCAGTTCACACATTAAAAACTGCTGGAACAACTGGAGCAGCAGATTCCCCGCTGCACTGGGATCATAAAACTGCTGTAAACACAATATTTGCCTCGGTTTATTACTGCTTTTTTTAAAGCAGCCTGGTGTGCTGGATTTCTGCCAAGTTATAATAATGTCTTAAAAATATATTCTGCTTATCCAGGTCACATTGATTAGAGAGGAGGTCTTTCAGTAATTTAGGGGACAGAGTTTAGGTGCAGAAGAAGAAGAAGGAGAAGGAACCACTTCATTAATGTCATGTGACGCAGAACAACCAATCAAAGCCAAGAGATATCTTTAGTACTTTGCACATTTTTAGAAGTTGTTCATTTCAGTGCGGGTTTATCGATACCCTGACTTTAAGATCTGTATGTCACCTGCAGTCATTTTATAAGCTGCTAAAATGTCAAACAATCAATAAATATCCAACCATAACGTGTCTCAAGTGTCCAACACACACACACACACACACACACACACACACACACACACACACACACACACACACACACACACACAAATACAAAGAGAGCAGAGCGGAGCAAAGAAGACAGAAAAATAACAAGTTAAAAATAACACCTAGAAGGAGATTGGATGCTAACGTTAGCTGGTTATGGAAGATTGGATGCTAACGTTAGCTGGTTATGGAAGATTGGATGCTAACGTTAGCTGGTTATGGAAGATTTGATGCTAACGTTAGCTGGTTATGGAAGATTGGATGCTAACGTTAGCTGGTTATGGAAGATTGGATGCTAACGTTAGCTGGTTATGGAAGATAGGATGCTAGCGTTAGCTGAATATGGAAGATTGGATGCTAGCGTTAGCTGGTTATGGAAGATAGGATGCTAGCGTTAGCTGGTTATGGAAGATTGGATGCTAACGTTAGCTGGTTATGGAAGATTGGATGCTAACGTTAGCTGGTTATGGAAGATAGGATGCTAGCGTTAGCTGGTTATGGAAGATAGGATGCTAGCGTTAGCTGGTTATGGAAGATTGGATGCTAGCGTTAGCTGGTTATGGAAGATTGGATGCTAGCGTTAGCTGGTTATGGAAGATTGGATGCTAGCGTTAGCTGGTTATGGAAGATTGGATGCTAGCGTTAGCTGGTTATGGTTGCTTAATGTCTTTGAAGGTAAGAAAACAATCATGCGTACGGCCACTTAGTCCAAATGTAACAATGTTGATATTTTTACATTTATCTATTTGTTTTTTTACATTACTTTTAACATTTTATTTATCTTGGGCTTTATGAGAATAGAGCTCTTAAGCCTATATTGGTTGAGACTTCTTTCGATGAGTGTTCCAAGCTATTATCTGCACAAGCTTGTCATTAATTGCAAGTTTCAACTTGATCAATACGACCTGCTATTGACTCTCAATCTGTGACACAATCAAAGCTCCA